TGCCAACGCCCCATCCACCAGAGACCCCCTGGATCTCCCCCAATTCTGCCAGCCCCCACAGGCATCCCCCCACAAGCAACATCAAAATGGCCACACCCACCCCAGCCATGCCCACTCAATCTGCCATGACCACAGCAGCCACACCCACCCAGTGGGCTACGCCTACCCCCAATGCGGCCTTGGCACTTTGCGATGAATAAGTCGGTTTTGGATTGTGGTTTGGGCACTCGGTCTCTAAAAGGTTCGCCATCCCTGGCCTAAGGGGTACCCTGATTCTTCTGCAGCACGCCAAGGACCAAAGGGGAAAAATGCATGTGCTCAGATAAAAACATACAAGTTAGGGGTGGGAGAAATGGGACATTCTCATCTGAACATCAATTCAAACAATTCTTTGTGATATTTCAGGATCCCACGAAAGGCTGTGCCACTTCATTGCCCGGCAAAGTGACACTGTGATCGCATGCATCGGGTAAGTGAGCTCAAGCTGACTTGTGTCACAGAAGGCACAAAAGCCAACTGCCATAACCTCTCTCTCTCTCTAGACCAGAGGTTCTCAAAGGGGTCGCCTAAGACCATCGGAAAACACATATTTCCGATGGTCATAGGAACCTAGACACCGCTCCTCTATCCATCTCCGCACAGCTTCGAACTGGGGGCCGTTGCAGTGCCAGATTCGTTTCTGTCGAGCATCTCCTAAGGGAGGCTGCGCTGCTTCGCGGCCTTTTCTGTGGAGGAAGCTGAATTAAGCTCTGCCAGTGCTGTCACCCTCTTGGCTCTCTCTCTCTCGCTCTCTCTCTCGCTCTCTCTCCCCGTCTGGGCGCTTTTCCAACCAGGCTGGGCGAAGTCTAGTCCTAGACTTAGAACAGTTCATTTAGTGACTGTCCAAAGTTACAATATTTAAGAATACAGCCCCAAACCTCTTATGCAAACAGAATGCATCCTGTCAGTTGTAGGACAAATAACATGAGCAAGCATTTTATTTCCTCCCTGGATACAATTCCTGCAGCTGCAGAAAAAGCAGCAAAAATAGAAAAAAAGGAGAGGGAATGTGCATTTCATTAATGGAGAACAAAGCAACTGGGAGTAACTCAGACTTAAGAGGAAAATACTGAAATAGGCTCAAAATAAATAAAAATAAAAATAGTTGAGACTGAGCGAAGCAAACTGCCAGAAAGTGGATTTTACTACAGAAGCCAGACAGAGAAGTGATTCAGCAATGACTTCTGGACTAGCTAGTAAAAATCACCTAAATGCATGGTACAATTTATACTCTTTTTCCTATTTTAAGTTTTGATGAGATTTATAAGAAGTTTGTTCTTCTTAATTTCCTAGCTTGGTTTTTTTCCCTTTCAGCAGGATTGATTAATCCTATGACCCAGGGAAGGAAATAACTTGTTGATGAGGTTTTTGTGTATCTAGGTTAATCTTGTTGTAGGCGCTGGTGTGTCTGGGGTTAATCCTGTTATTGGTTTCTATGTGTATATAGGGCAGTGGTGGCGAACCTATGGCACGGGTGCCAGAGGCGGCACACAGAGCCCTCTCTGTGGGCATGCGTTCTATCGCCCGAGTCCTAGGCCTTCAGCTGGGTTTTATAAAACCTTTTCGCTTTAGGCCTCTGCTGCCATGTGCAAAAAAAAAAAAGGTTCAGTCAATTTCAGCTTCTTGCAGGAAAAAAAAAGATCTTGCAAAGTTGGAATTGCTTGATTGAACTTTTTAGTCCCACCCAGTCTTCCGTTACCACCGCAGCCACACCCAGCCAATGGGCCACACCCACCCGGCACTCAACGATGGATAAGTGGGTTTTGGGTTGCAGTTTGGGCACTCGGTCTCTAAAAGGTTCGCCATCACTGAGATAGGGCAAACCTGTCAGCTTTCTTTTGGTTTGTTCAAGGCTAGTGCTTATCACAGGTGGGGGAGGAAGAGAGAGGAGAGGAGAGGGGAGAGAGAAAGAGAGAGAGAGAGAGAGAGAGAGAGAGAGAGAGAGAGAGAGAGAGAGAGAGAGAGAGAGAGACTCTTCTCTGGTACTTTTGTTTTTTGGCTTGACTTTTCTAAGAGAGGGAAATGGATGTTTCTTTTGGAGCAGCCTTTCGTATTTGTAATAGTTGGTTTCTGGGCCTAGGCTTTCTACCTCTTTTCCTATTGTTCCTGCCTGTTTAATATTTCCCAAAGGTATTTCTTTTTCATGGGTATCTAGATGCTAACTTCTAATTATTGATTGAATCAATGATCCATCACAGCCATGGAGCAAGTTTCAGATTAACTCTGGAGTTCAGAGATCTCAAACCAGGAGTGGGGAACCTTGGCTCTTTGATGACTCGTGGACTTCAACTCCCAGAATTCCTGAGCCAGCCTGGCTCAGCTTGGAAACCTCTCCCTTTCCCCTCAGCATGGCTGCCTCAGGAATTCTGGGAGTTGAAGTCCACCAGTCATAAAAGAGCCCAGGTTGCCCTCCCCTGTCTTAAACGGTTGCTCCGCGGGGATTGCATCCCACGAGGGAAGCCGAGCGAGGGATTTCCTTTGGAAACAGGCCTTTGTAAGTCTAATCAGACAGGCTAAAGCTGACAGCTGCTCTTTGCTAAACTCTGCCCTGAGTCCTTCGGGATTGGGCGGCATATAAATATTAAAAATAAATAAATAAATAAATAAACTCCCCCCCAAAAAAAAGAGAAACCAGTGAAGGAGCCAAACTTTTTCCTTCAACCTTCTCCAGAGGAAAGAGGAACGCGACATCCGCCAGGCGTTTTTTCTCCAAAACTGCTGCGGAGTTTTGAAAAACTGCCAGGGCTGCTGCAACCCTACCCAGAACAAAGCGTCCCGTGCAGCCCAGCCTCATCCTGCACAGACACCGCGACACCCGGCCACTTACTTATCCAAGATGAAGTACAGATCGAAGCCCCGTAGCAGGCGGCGCCCCTCTCCTCTTGCTGCCTCCCTCGCCCATCCCAGGGGACCATCAGGGTGTTCAGAAAGGAGGGGAAAAGGCTGTCTGGAGGTGGGTTTTGGTTTTTTTTTTCACATTTCCCTTCTGCTCTGCTTTCTCTCTGGTCCGTTTTCAGGGCACCTCTGCCTTGCGCTTCCAGCGCAGTGCAGCCACTGTCAGCCAGGTGATTGACAATTTCTGGTTCCTGTTGCTTTGCTTTGCCCCAGATTTGAGGAACATGGAAGCCTCCTCCCTCCTCCTGGCCCCCTCCCCGCAAAGGAAAGAGCTGAAATCCAGGGCTGATCTTGGCGCTTCTGCTGAGCCCTGACAGCCCTGCAGCTCCAGCCGTCTCTCGTTCAGGCTTGTGCGGTGCTGCCGCCAGTTCAGCTCATTCCCCTCCCCCCACTACCACTTCTAGGATGGTCCCGTACCACCTGCCACAGGTGGTACGCGTTTCACCAGCTGAAAAGCCCTGTGCTGAAATACTGACAGCAATAAGGAACCAACAAGGATGCCGCGGGTTACTTCAGAGTAGTTTACAGAATTACAGCTAGTCTTTGACTTACAATCACAACTGAGCCCAAACTTTCTGTTGTTTTGTGAGACAGTTGTTAAGTGCCCCATTTTATGTCTTAACATAAAATGCCACAGTTGTTAACTGAATCCCACTGACTTTGCTTGTCAGAAGGTCACAAAATGGGATCACATGAGCCTGAGACACTGCAGCTGTCATAACTATCAGTTGCCAGGCGCCCTAATTTTGATCATGTGACCACAGGGATGCTGCAACGGTCATGTGAAAAACGGTCCTAAGTCACTTTTTTCAGTGATGTTGTAATTTTCAACAGTTATTAAATGAACTGTTGTAAGTCGAGGACTGCTTCTATTGGTTGTTGCATGCTGCCCAGTCTTTTTGGGGTGGGGCAGCTATAATATATTCATCTTCATAATAGGAATGCCAGTGCATTTGAAAGATTGTATTTTGACTGAATGTTGCTTCAGATACCCCTTGGCGCCAGAGCACCCCTATCCAGCTCAACAACTCAGCTGCTACACTGCCCTATCACATTTTCTGAAGAATGCGCAGGACTACGGGGTGGACCCGAAACGGATCGTGCTGGCTGGCGACAGCAGCGGAGGCACACTTGTTGCCAGCACTGCTCAGCAACTTCTGATGACAAAGGACCTGCCACAGCCCCGGGCCCACATACTAATCTATCCTTTCCTACAAGGCCTGGATTTAAATTTACCTTCTTACCAGCAAAACCAGTTTATTCCCCTCTTAGTCAAGAAAGAGGCTGTTCGTCTTGCCACAGTTTATCTGTCGGGAACTGATGCCGGGGTCAATGAAATTATGGCCAATGCTCATGTCCCGCAGGAACTCATGGCAAAGTATCAGAAATGGATCAGTGCGGAACATATTCCGGAGGAATTTAAAGGCCGGGGTTACGTGCCGTTTGTACCTGGTCCGTTTTCAGAAGATCTTTTCCAAAAATACAAAACAGTTTTCGACCCCATATTTTCCCCACTCCTGGCGGAAGATGCCGTCATCCAGCAGTTTCCAGAGACTTTCCTCTTAACCTGCGAATATGACATTTTCCGAGATGATGGCTTGCTCTATAAGAAGAGGCTGGAAGACAATGGTGTCCCTGTCACCTGGCTTCACCTCAAGGACGGATTCCATGGGATCACCTCGCTGATAGATATGGGGTCAATCCAGTTTCCAAGTACGAGGAAGAGTATGAATAGTGTAATCCAATTCCTAGAACGATTCTAGAAATCAAACAGCCTCGTTCCTCTTCCTTGTTCATCTAGCCCTTGCCTTACAGATCTGGATCTGAAGAGGTTATACCCTATAATTTCATTCATCTGTCCTGCTTAACTGACCTGAAGATGGTCCACCAACCCTTTGAAGAGACACATCCTTGCCCTCTCCAGCTCGTTCATAGCCCACCACTCAGGTAGCCTGGTGTCAGGCTGTGCAGGAAACGGTGGTTTTCCCTCTTACCCAAAAAAGAGAATTTCCCATATGACAGTCTAAGTGGCACCGAGGAACCATTGGGAGAGTGGCCAGACGTCTAACTTTTGCGCTCTCCTCCTCCCTATAGTCAGGACAGTGGTCTTTGGAATATCAAACTTGTGGAGAATGTTGAACATGACAGCACAAGGAAACAACAGCCCATCACCAGCCATCAACACCCCAATGAACCAATAGGAAGGCATCACATAATTGCGACTCACAGAATGGCCCAAAGTGCATATAGGTAGTCCTCGACTAACGATAACAATTGAGCCCAAAATTTCTGTTGCTAAGTGAATTTGCCTCATTTTACGGTCTTTCTTGTCAGAGTTGTTAAGTGAATCACTATAGTTGTTAAGTTAGTAACACGGTTGTTAAGTGAATCTGACTTCCCCATTGACAGAAGGCAGCAAAAAGTAATTACATGACCCCAGGACACTGCAACCATCATAAATATGAGTCAGTCGCCAAGTGTCGGAATTTTGATCATATGACTCTGGGGATACTGCAGCGGTCTTAAGTGTGAAAAACGGTTATAATCACTTTTTTCAGTGCCGCTGTAACTTTGAACAGTCACTAAACGAAGTGTTGCAAGTCAAGGACTACCTGTATTCCAGTAAAGAGAGGTTTCCTGAGGATGGGCTCCGGCACGGGTCTGAATGCTCAGAACAGTAAACCTCTGGTCCTGGTGACCGACCCAGATTGGATCTTGCAACGTTATCCTGGGAGATGTATATGTGCCTTCATTTGTCATGGAAAACCCAGTGCAGCTCTTTCAGGAACCATTATTCCCACAGGCAGACCAAAAAATGAACGAAAAAAGGGAATCAGCCCCCAAAAGCTCTGGAGGCCTATTGTGCTAGCCCCCCTCACCCGTTGGCATAGGTTCTGTTTCCTAACAGGACCTTGCCTTGAACCGTGCCTTCCTTTCCTCTGTCTCTGAAGAGGCATTTCTCTCCAACAAGACTAATGCAGTAAGATCTTAAGGGACCTCTCCTTGTTGACGCTTCCATCTCAACTCTTCCTGTATCCGCTTTCCTTGCTCCACCTTTGCTTTAGCTGCAGGTGGTCCCCGGTTGCTGAGCTTCTAGAATAGTGACAACTGACTTCATGTAAACCTTTTGAGCTTCAGTAAAGACTCAAGAAACAAATCCCAGTCTGTTTCATTTCTATTTCATTTCAGATTCATTTTTGCCCACTGCAAAGGGCAAGGAGAGAAAAGGGGAAGATGGCGCAGAGGTGTTGTAAAGGCATGGCTATGTTGACAGAATGGGGCGTGTTGGTCCGTGTCTGTGTGTGTGTTGGAAGGGCACGAACTAGCAAGTCCGTTCGGTGGGCCGAAGACTGCCAGCCCCTCATGAAACAGTGTGTGTGTGTGTGTGTGTGTGTGTGTGTGTGTCCCTCTCCTCAGCTCTTCTGCGATCAGGGACTGCAGGGAAAAATGTTAGGGAATTGGACAGCTGGTGTCCAAATGGAGGCAGAGATGCTGACACAAAACACATAGTTTTATATTAATAAACATATTAATAGTAAATAAGATAATCAGGCAAACAGCAGCATATCAGGTAAATCAACGTATTATGAGGTAAATTATAGAGGGCACTCAGAGGAAAAAAGGCGGGAAACAAAGAACCTCCCCCTTTTCACTCAAGGTAACCAATCAAAGCTTAGATTGCCTCATACAGTAGCCAGCCCTCTTCAACCAATCAGCTATAACTGTGTGTTCTGATTCATTGTCCAACCCTTCACTGCTCCTGCTATTAAATTAAATATCTTAAAAAAGAAGAGGAAAATGTGGAGAGGAAAGATGAACCAAGCCCCAGATTCGTCCTCAACCTGAATTAGGCAAAACAGCAACTGCCTCATCGGACAAGCCAGAATGGGTCTGTGAAAACCCAGGTAGTCCTCGACTTACAAATGCAATTGAGCCCAAAATTTCTGTTGCTCAGTTAGACAGTTGTTAAGTGAATTTTGCCCCATTTTACAACCTCTCTTGCTGTGTTTGTTAAATGAATCACTGCAGTTGTTAAGTTAGTAACACCGTTGTGAATCTAGTTTCCTCATTGACTTTGCTTGTCAGAAGTTCACAAGAGGTAATCACATGATTCCGGCACACTGCAACTGTCATAAATATGAACCATCCAAAGAAATATCTTGTCTAGTTTAATGAAGAGAAGGACTAGGTGTCACATGATAGCAGTGTTCCAATATTTCAGGGGTTTCCAGAGAGAAGAGGAAGTCAGTCTATTCTCCAAAGCACCAGAAGGCTGGACAAGAAACCATGGATGGAAACTAATCAAGGAGAGAAGCAACCTGGAACTAAGGAGAAACTTCCTGACAGTTAGAACAATTAATCAGTGGAACAACCTGCCTCCAGAAGCTGTGAATGCTCCAACACTGGAAGTTTTTAAGAAGAGACTGGACAGCCATTTATCTGAAATGGTATAAGGCAAAGGTCCCCAATCTTTTGGGCACCAGGGACTGGTTCCATGGAGAGAGGTTTTTCCATGGACTGGAGGGTGTGTGGTTTTGTGTGCTGCCTGCATCCCATGGATGGGCCGTTGCTTGTTTGTGTGGCCCAGTTGCTGGCATGCTGCAGCCTGGTACCGGTCCACAGACCGGGGGTTGGGGACCCCATATATAGGTTTGCTGCCTGAGCAGAGAGTTGGACTAGAAGACCTCCAAGGTCCCTTCCAACATTATCATTATCATCAGCAGCATCCAAATTTTGATCACATGACTGCGGGGATGACGTTATAACTTCAAACAGTCACTGAATGAACTGTTGTAGCTTGAGGACTACCTGCACTTGACTTTGCAGAAGAGTTTCCTTTAAGCCAAGCAGCCTTTCTCTCCTGGAATTCCCTAAAGTTGTTTTTAAGAGGGACAACAGGATGGCACCAGGAGGAGGAGACTTTGCCCCATGGTGGGGGGAAAGGGCCACTCCCAAAGGTTTCATGTAGAGCAAGGGTGTCAAACTCAATTTCATTGAGGGCCTCATCAGCATTATGGTTGCCCTCAAAGGGCCAGTTGCTGACTCCTTCTCTCCCTCAGGCTTCCTCCACAGAAGCCTCACTTATGCCATCCCCTTCTCTCCTTCAGGCTTGTCCCACCGACATCTCTCCTCCCTATTGCCTTCTCTGCTCTCTCACTCCTCCTTTCTACCCAAACCCCTCCTTTTTATATTCTCCTCTCCCCCATGCGTTCACTCACTGCCTGGCTGGCTTTTTCACACAGCACTCATTGACTGGAGCTGCATGTGCTGATTCTGGGGTCCTGCCAAGCCACGGCAGCCTCACAGCTCCAGCTGACTCTTCCCCTGAAGACTGCGTGCAGCTGCCAGCCACCCCGAGGCTGTTGGAAGCCCCAATCAGCTGGAGCCACACGGGCCGATCCCAGGGCTTCAGCAGAGCCCCAGCAACACTGCAGCTCCAGCTGATTCTCCCCGGGCCTCTCTGGTGCTGCTGCAGCTTCAGCTCACCCCCCTCCCACTACATACTCTATTCAGACTGTGAGTTAAAAACGCCTTCTTTAAATCAAGTCAGATAGATAACTCAGTAGAAATGGTTTCATAACAAAAAGAAATATATTTCGATCAGAAAGATTACAAAGATTACTTGCATTCATGCTGTGTTGTTACTTCTGGAAATTACATCTTTTGTCCATTCCTACAGGTAAAAGGATGATGCTCTCTTCCATACCATCTTTATAACGGCGCAGGCTCATTGGGTGACATCTGATAGCCCATGCTTCTTTCAGACAAAGACATTCCAATCTGGCTTGTGTCCAGGAAGTCTCCCAATGCCCTTTAGAAACTCCTTCCACTGACATACTGATACATGCTCTCTAGTCAGGGTTACATAGAGCTATACGAGGTTACATAGAGCTATATGGTTCAGAATACTCCCGGCTTGGAAATTTATATTTCCACTACTAACTAACTGAAATAGCAAAAAACATAGCATATTTTAGTTTATGAGTAAATTTTAGAGTATTATTACTATTAATAGTTTATTATAGTAGAATTTTTATTAGTTTTATTATTATCTTTAGTATTAGTATAGTTTAATAATTTGGATATTGTATTGTTTAATAATTAGGATATCGACTTGTTTATATTATTATGTTTATTTTTAATTTGTTTATACCTATGTTAAAGGGGAGTTAAAGCGCATTATGGACTTGGTTATTTATATAGTTCACAACAAAGTCCAGTTGCCTCTTGAAAAAGCACCTTTGGGGCAACCATGACCTGGATGACTGAAAACCTCCATGGACATCCATTATCCAGAACTTTTTTTCCTCATTATTGTTATTTAATGGGGAACCCCAAATATTCCCAGAGAGTCTACTTCTAAATAGTTTGGTGTGAGCTCTAACCATCTCCCAATCTTTATTCCAACAGGATCTGAATGGAAAAGTGAATCAGAGGGGAAACTATGTGGGAATTTCTCTGAAGAAATTGAGCAGGAACTCTTTGAAGAGAAAGTCTGGAACCGAATTCAACCCTCACACCAAGAAGGAAGCCAACAAGAAGAATGGATCGATAAACCCCTTCCTCGTTCCATTGGAGAGTTCCATCAAATCTCACTGCAGCAAAAAAAAAAAAGGAAGGAGAGGAAAGAAATGGATGTCTCAGTGATCACTGGGAAATATCTGCAGAGATTGAATCCCAGAAAGGTATTTTGGGGAAGAACTCCAGAGACAGGGAAATGCTTTCTGAAGGAGAGAGTTCATATACATTTCTGGAAAACCGAGAGAAGTTTCTAGTTTCTTTAATTCCTCCATCGTATCAGGCTGTCCATGCTGATGGACAACATCAACCCTCCGATTTCAGCAAAAGCTTTCATGGTCCATCCAACCTGCTGACACCGCCAAGAATCCCTAAAGTGGAGAAGTTGTATAAATGCTTGGAATGCGGGAAGTCCTTCAGTCGCAGCGCCCATCTGACGTCCCACGAGATCATCCACACTGGAGAAAAGCCATATACATGTTTAGAGTGTGGGAAGAGCTTCGTTCAGAGCGCCCACCTTGCCTGCCATCAAATTATCCACATGGGGAGAAGCCGTACCAGTGCTTGGAGTGCGGGAAAAGTTTCAACAAGAGCACCAACTTTGTGAGGCATCAGAAGATCCACAAAGGAGAGAAGCCGCATCAGTGCGCCGATTGCAACAAGACTTTTTCCGACAAACCGAGTCTCATTCAGCACCAAAGGGTTCACACGGGGGAGAGGCCCTACAAATGCTACGAGTGCGGGAAGAGCTTCAGTCACAGGGGCTGCCTCAATGCGCATCAGCGAATGCACATGGAGGAGAAGCCGTACGGCTGCACGGACTGTGGGAAGAGCTTTCGGGTTCAGTCCAGCCTTATTAGACATAAGAGAACCCACACTGGGGAGAAGCCCTACACCTGCTCCGAGTGTGGGAAAAGCTTCACCCAGAGCACAAACCTGACTTTGCATCAAAGGGTGCACACTGACGGGAAGCTTCCAGAAGAGTCTCCCCAAATGCTTAACACGGGGATGGCCGTGTTAGTCTTTCCACCAAATCCTGCAAATGGTTTAGTGGCGCTTGAAAGCTAACATTTAGTGGTACTTGGCTCAATAGTACTAACTGTGAGAGGGATTGTCCTAGTTGACAATCATTTAAATATGAGCAAGCAGTGTGCTGCAGCCGCCAACAAAGCCAACACAATTCTAGGCTGCCTTAATAGAGGGATAGAATCAAGATCATGTGAAGTGTTAATAAGGGTTTACAATGCCTTGGTAAGACGACACTTGGAATACTGCATCCAGTTTTGGTTGCCATGGTACAAAAAAGATTTTGAGATTCTAGAAAGAGTGCAGAGAAGAGCAACAAAGATGATTAGGGGACTGGAGGTTAAAACATATGAAGAACAGTTGCAGGAATTAGGTATGTCTAGTTTAATGAAAATAAGGACTAGGGGTGACATGATAGCAGTGTGTCAATATTCAGCTCGAGAATCCAAATAAAACTCCAAGTTCATTCTGTTTCCAAAAATCTTATTGTTTATTAAGTTGATTGATTTTGCTGAAACAAAACTAACTCTGAGGTTCTAACACCAATTCATAGCCTTAAGCAATAGTTTTCCCAGCCAAACCCCCAATGTCTTACGTAGTCCATATAAACAAGTTCTGTTTGTTATGGGAACTGTCTGCTTCAAATCCACACCTGTTCTTGTGTCCTTGAAAAGGTTTCAGGTTCTCAAAGTCTTCAGCGGAATTGTACAAATTTCATGTTTCCATCTAATCTACTGGAAAGTAAGACCCCCCCCCTCTTACTCTAAAGGCAAGTTGAAAGGCAGAGGAACATAGCTGCCAAAGTTTCATCCTTGAGACAGTGTTCCATTATTTGAGGGGCTGCCACAAAGAAGAGGGGGTAAATCTATTTTCCAAAGCACCAGAAGGCAGGACAAGAAGCAACGGATAGAAACTAAAAAGCAGAGAAGCAACCTAGAACTAAGGAGAAATTTCCTGACAGTCAGAACAAATTAATCAATGGAATAGCTTGCTTCCAGAAGTTTAGTGGGGGTGCTCCATCACTGGAGGTTTTCAAGAAGAGATTGGACAACCATTTGTCGGGAATGGTATAGCGCCCCCTGTTTCTATAGAGGGTTGGACTAGAAGACCTCCAAGGTCTCTTCCAACTCTGTTATTGTCTTCTGTAAATCCATGTGGCCAGCTTGCACTCCTGCAGGCAATGCTTTCACTGACTTTGCTGGGGCCTTGTCACCACTGTTGTGACTGCTCTTCTCTTCCTGCTGATTTGAAGAATGCCGAGATTGGACTCTCCAGTTCTCTCCCACAGGCCATCTTGCAACAGGTGTGGCAACCAGAGAAGACACAAGGGAATGCCAGAGTAGCTTCCAAAGGGGGGGGCAAGGAAACCATGATCCTCCCCAGGGCACAGCTCAGCCCCCTCCCCAAGGGCCACCATCAGCATTCCCAGCTCTTTTTTTTCTTCCCTTCCTTTTTCCCCAATCACCTTTCCACTTTATGAATTTCTATTTGCGTATATAGGTATTCCCCGACTTACAGCAGTTTGCTTAGTGACCGTTCAAAGTTACAACAGCACTGAAAAAAGTAACTTACGTCCGATTTACACCCCCTGTCATGGTTCCGACAGATGAAACTCTTCAAAGGAACTTTGAGGCATTGTTTACCTTAAAGGATCTTTTATTCGAGTAGCATAATACCGGCACTTACATAATCGAAGCCAAAAACTGAATTCCCCCCCCCCCCGGCACATAGTATCAAAGCACAATTCCCTCCCTCCTCCAATTAACAGTCATAAATCACATTCCCCAATTAGCTTGAAGTGTGGGGTTCTTCTCCAGCTCTCCAGCCCGCCAATTCTTTATCAGCTCTGGCTCAATAACCTTGATTTTCATGCTACGTTTTAGTGTTGTTATGTCTAGCTGGACTCTGGAATCTGAAACAAAAAAAGCATCATTGGTAAAACTTTCTGTCAGACCCAGCGCACCACCCACCCTCCAGTAGCCCCGTTACCGGCTCACACAATGGCAACATTGGAGAGGCCCCAACAGCTGATCCGGCGGGTCCGCGTTTTGCGCCGCCATTGCAACCACCGAGATGGGCAACCGGGATTCCTAGAGCGGCAGCTCCGTGTTTTGCACTGCTATTGCAACCACCGAGATGGGAAACCACGATTCCTAGAGCGGCAGCTGATGAGCCCACGTGACCAGCTAGGATGGCTAGTAATTGATATACTTAGATGGCTAGTAACAACAGCACGGACGAAACGCGGCGAACGGAGGGGAGGCTGCTTCGTACTTATGTTTATTGGACTTCCAAGTGTCGCTGGGTCTGTCATTAGTGGACGTTGGAGCAGAGGACTGGACGGTAGAGCAGAGTGTTGCCGGCTTTGTTCATTTCACTTCTATGTGTGGGGCGTGGACTGGGGCAGGAGAGCGCAGCATTGTTAATTAGGTTATTGGTGGGGTGTGGGTTATCAACTGGGGTTGGGCTAGGCGAGGGTGGAGTATGGTCATGGGTGGTAATTGGGGTGTGTGCTCTGGGCGTGGTAGGTGGCTGTATTTAAGGCACTGGAAGGAGGTTACTTCCAGTGCTAACTTAATGTCAACACAGTGCATTAAACTTGTTGATTGTTCAACGTTCCTGTTTCTTGGCTTTTGTGAAGCACTACCAGGACGTTCTTGCAGTAAGTTAGATGGGCCTTATCCACCTGGCGCCATTTACTGGAGTGGGCACAACATCTCTTTGAAGTGTGGACAGACCACCAGAATCTAGCAGTTCTACAAACGCCTGGGCGGTTGTCTCCTAAACACGTGCGTTGGGTGCAATATTTCCAACGTTTCCGATTCCAACTTAAAGTCATTCCAGGGGGGAGAAATTTCCTAGCGGATGCCCTCTCTCGCCTACCGCAATATGATAGTATGAGGGAGGAGGTGGTCCAGGCCATTATGCCCCCTTATAGCGTCGGAGATCTGCATGTAGATTCCTGCGCGAAAACGACATCGTTTGAGGATGAGGTGAGAACAGCTTTATTACAAGATCCTTGGTTGTTGAATAATCCCGGGTTACTTACAAACCGGAATGGTTTAGCATGGTATGGCAATAGACTATATATTCCCCAGGGATTACGAGATCGCGTGTATCACCGTTGTCATGATGCTAAATTAGCCGGCCATTTCGGTTTCCTGAAGACGTTACACCTAGCCAGACGTCAATTTTGGTGGCCTGGAATGAGAAGAGACATTGAAACTTATGTGAAGGGCTGTCACATCTGTGCACAATCAAAGGTAGTACCCAAAAAACCAGTGGGACTGTTACAACCAGTATCTGATCCAAATCAGCCATGGCAGGACATTGGAATGGATTTTATAGTTGACTTACCGGAGGTACAGGGTTACACCATTATATGGACAGTGGTTGACTTGTTTTCAAAACAAGCCCATTTCATACGCTGTAAGGGATTGCCGTTGGCAAGAGGACTGGCCAGAATGTTTTGAACACATACTTATCGTTTGCATGGGGCACCTCGTCAAATTATTTCGGACCGTGGCGTACAATTTACGGCTCAATTCTGGCGTCAGTTCCTTCGATTCATTGGTACTGCTCAAGGTCTCAGCTCTGCGTATCATCCCAGTACCAACGGGGCAGTGGAGTGGGCCAATGCTGCTGTCGAGCGATATCTGAGGAGCTACGTATCCTATCAACAGTCGAATTGGGTGGAATTGGTGCCATTAGCGGACGTCGCATATAATAACGCAGTACATAAGAGCACCGGCCTCACACCATTTCAGGTGGTGTATGGACGCGACTTTGTCCCGATGCCAGAGTGTGGGTCCCAGGAATCCCAGCCTCGTCACCCCAATGAATGGTTTAACCACGTAGGTGAGGTATGGGGTACAGTGAAAAAGGCCCTGATAAAAGCAGAACAAGCAACTAAACACCAGGCGGATAAAACTCGTAGCTTACAGGTTCAGTTTTGGGTGGGGGATCTAGTGTATTTATCGACTAAATATATAAAGTTGCAGGTGCCGTGCAAAAAACTAGCACCAAAGTACATCGGATCCTTCCGCATAGTCCAGATTATTAATCCGGTGACGGTGAAGCTTCATTTACCGAGTTTGCATGATAAGGTGCATCCAGTCTTTCACGTAAGCTTGTTGAAACCTGTAAGGGAGAAACCCCAAGAACAAACCCCAGGGCCCATCACCCGAGGTCGGTATGAAGTACAAGATATCCTGGATTCGCAGGTGAAGGGGGGTAAACTTTATTATCTAATCTTATGGAAGGGATATCCCCTGTCCGATGCCTCCTGGGTGTGGAAGGGGGATGTCTTTGCTCCCGACCTGATTCGTAGATACCATAGGAAATTTCCACGCAAACCTGGGGAGGGGCCGAATAACTCTTCATGTGCATGACAAAAGGCCTTACTCATCTTAGTATGCTTTCTTCCAGGGGGACATGTGGTGAGGGGGGCCGAATATCAGACCCAGCGCACCACCCACCCTCCAGTGGCCCCGTTACCGGCTCACACAATGGCAACATTGGAGAGGCCCCAACAGCTGATCCGGCGGGTCCGCGTTTCGCGCCGCCATTGCAACCACCGAGATGGGCAACCGGGATTCCTAGAGCAGCAGCTCCGTGTTTCGCACTGCTATTGCAACCACCGAGATGGGAAACCGGGATTCCTAGAGCGGCAGCTGATGAGCCCATGTGACCAGCTAGGATGGCTAGTAATTGATATACTTAGATGACTAGTAACAACAGCACGGACGAAACGTGGCGAACGGAGGGGAGGCTGCATCGTACTTATGTTTATTGGACTTCCAAGTGTCGCTGGGTCTGTCATTAGTGGACGTTGGAGCAGAGGACTGGACGGTAAAGCAGAGTGTTTCCGGCTTTGTTCATTTCACTTCTATGTGTGGGGCGTGGACTGGGGCAGGAGAGCGCAGCATTGTTAATTAGGTTATTGGTGGGGTGTGGGTTATCAACTGGGGTTGGGCTAGGCGAGGGTGGAGTATGGTCACGGGTGGTAATTGGGGGGTGCGCTCTGGGCGTGGTAGGTGGCTGTATTTAAGGCACTGGAAGCAGGTTCACTGGAAGTTAGTTTCCAGTGCTAACTTTATGTCAACACAGTGCATTAAACTTGTTGACTG